TACACCATTATGAAGTTGAGACGTCTTCTTCATTAAGTGTCGCTCTTTTATAATTCGTGCTTGATTCAAAAAGCCACGAAATTAATAAAGCATTTTTAAATGCAAAAGTTAAAAGGGTAAAACAAAAACCCACATATTAAAATTGAAGTGGAAAACAAAGCCCTAAACTTAAAGGAAAAAAGCAAGGGCAAACCACTAAAAGAGTAGAATATAAACTCAAATCAAAGGCATCATAAAAGTTGAGCACAAACTTTTTGATATCTTAAATAACTTAGTTAAAACTAAGTATGAACTTAGTCCTAACTTAGTTATCATTATAAAAACCCCTAAAAAGGACTGGAGGTATGATGTTACCAAAAAACATTACCCTTAAATGGGACTAGGGATAAAACCACCAAGTGTTTCACCAACAAAACAATAAAAAAACAAAAAAAAAACTAGTAATTTCACAATCAAACTTTCACTATGGAGCAGGTTCTGAACCAGTATTCAAGATGACGTCATCAGCAGCAGAAGGTTCAACTTGATCAGAAGGGGCTTGAACAACCACTACATCATCATTAGCTTCAACACCTTCGAGAGTATCAGCCATGGGCAAAGAAAAACTTTGGCTTTGGTGAGTCTTCTCGATTGTTTCCTTAATCTTTGCTACCTCAGCATCCAAGTTAAAACCTTCCTGACTTACTTCCATAAGAGTGTCATGACGCGTGTTCAAAATGGCCCAACTTACTTCAACATCAGCCTTGTCTTCAAGAGCTTCATAATCTCTCTCCCAATGATCAATGTCATTCTTAAGCTCTTCCTTTTCGGCTAAAGCAGCATCATAAGAAGCCTGTAAGGGGGCAAGCGAACTCTCCAAAAACTTAACCTTATCGGAAGACACCCGGAGATCTTCTTGGGCCTGAGTGAGTGTTTGAACAAGCTCACCAGCATAAACTTTTTTCTCATCCAACAGGGCCTTCAGACCTCTGATCTCTTCTGTAGCCTTGGAAAGTTGTTCAGCGAAAGATGACTCAAGAAGGTGCTTGTCCTTGCCCGTTTGGTTGGAAGAGGCTTTCTCAACTGCTAGCTCTGCTGCATACTTTTATCTGCTGCTCCAAGGTTTATTTGTTCTCCTCTAAAACTTCCATCTCAAGCTGAGACTTTCATAATGCTCTTTCCAATTATCAGCCTCAATCTGATAGTCATGCATCAACTGCTCCGTATGGGAAACCCTTTTCATCATCTCTGTACCGATGAGATTAATCTACATAAAGAGAGAAGGATGAGAATCCTAGTAAAAGCAAAATTACATAAGGTAAAAAGGGAAGTCTATACCTTCAATAATGATTGCACAATGTCGTTCATCCAAGTCAAAGAGCTATGACTTTCCAGTTTTGACTTTTCCACCGGACCTATCAAGGGTTTTAGCCATACGTCAGTCTGGCTTGACTTCTTCAGAAGATTACCGTCAGCAGGAACCTCAATGATAATTTGCTTCATTGCCCTGCTACCACTTGAAGAACCAATTTCATTACGAGAAATATTGGCAGCAGGAATGGTCGAAAAAGTTGTAATAGCTTCTGGCGGAGCAGAAACAACAACGGTAGGAACGGGCACATGGGATTCCAGTGGAACTGACACAGGAAAAGTGGCAAGAGGCGTTTCCTCAGAAACCAAGTCAAAACTTTCATTGTCAAACCCACGTGAAAAGAGGTGTTCAGCAGAGTCTCGAGGTGCCACAGGCGTCTCTTCATCAGAACTCAATAAAGTGGCTTCAGCAGGCTCGGTCACGGAAACAGAACGAGGAGGAGGAGTAGCTTCGTCATCCGAAACGACACGTCTTCTAGCCCGCGGCTTACGCACTAAAGAGCTTCCATCCCACTCCTCTTCATCTTCAGAATCCTGTGGTCTATCAGCTTTTCTTTTCGATGAAGAACTCAAGATTATCTCCTGAGCTCTCGCCAAAGAAAGTCTAGAAGCTACGATTGACTCAGCACTCACACCTCGAATAGGAAACCCTGAAAAAAAGAAGGGTTAATAAATTCTAAATAGAGAATGAACGAAGGAAAAAGGAGAAAATAAAAAAAAATTACCGTGAGTCAACCTTCCAGCCAAACCTATTCGAAAGGTATTTCCAAGACCTTACTTCCATCGGAGCAATTGTTAACAATTTTTCTACCCAACCACGAAAATTAGAAATCTCTTCAACAGTTCCCATGATTGTTGAAAAAGAAAAGTAAAACAGTCACGGGAAGTACAAACTCTTAAAAAAAAAGAGAAAGTTGTAAAGAAAACTTACGTGCAAAGTTCCACTTCTCAAGAAAGGACATATTTTCTTCACCTACTAACCCTTTCGTAGGAGCAGCAACAAATCAGGCATACCAGCCACGATCTTTATCGTCCTCAGGGCTGACTAAAACTCTCTTACTCCTCGCCACCAGAGTAACAATCCCATGACGGAATAATTTAGGAGAGTAGATATGGATTAGATGAAAAAGGGTGAAAAACAATTGAGCCAAATTAGCCAAATACCTTAAACTTACAACAACCCTCCATACAATAGGGCCAATTTTGTCCTAAACACACATTGAAGAAGCGGCAGAATTCAATAATGACTGGATCAATAGGAGGTCTAAAGACTAATGTAAAGGGGTACATATACACAAAAGAAAAGCCAGCTTTGAAAGAAGTGATCCTTTGATTTGCATTAGGGATCAGAATTGGAAAATCAAACTTCCAATGACAATCTCTGCGAACAACAGAGATCAAACCTTCAGTAATCTGTGAAGGATACACATCGGCATTATCATGAGAGGACATAGAGGAGACCTGGTTTCTAATCGACTCTCTGTCAGTATAAAAAGAAAGCTCAGCAGGGATAATCTCATCTACTGTAGGCTCACGAATTGGCTCGCTGGAATCCCTACTTCTAGTAGAAGACCTATGAGAAAGAGAAGGCCTAGTTCTAGAAGATGATGGAGGAGTAGGACTAGGTTGAGAAGAAGAACCTCGAACGGAAACTGATCCTAAACTACGCAGCCTACCACCTCTCCTGCTTCTAGTAGGAGCGAGGGGAAGTTCATCTACAATAAGAACCTTTTGAGGAACAGGGTTTGAAGAAGATATAGCTATACGAAGATGAAGAAAAGATTGAATGGCAAAGTATGGGAAACTTTTTCGTGAAAGAGAAGACAAAGGATATATTTATACTTGGAAGCAACCGTCAAACAAAAAGGTAATGATGGAAACGTCATTATAAAAATTGTCACATCGTGATTGATGCAGCCGTAAAAAAGCCCTAAAAGGCGCTGAGGAATTACAGAACCAATCGTAGGGCACCACGTGTCACACGTATTAAATGGAAGTGACATACGAAGCGTCAGTTCAGAAAAAGGTATAATGGTATGTGGGAAACGGCGGTAAAAATTCCCGCTTTAATGAGATCCACTTCCCAAATATTCAATTGCTGAATAAATGCCAAGTGGGGGGACTATCTGTATTGGGAAAAATCGATATTACACTTGGAATTAATTATGTGGCGGACATGTCAAGATACGTGGATTATTAGAAGAGTGACAGCTGGCAAAGAGTACTTAAAGAGACGCGAGTCTTAATAGGTACGAGCGAAGTGTCAAGAAGACAAGAAGGAACAGTCACTCGGGTCTCTTGATAATTTGAAGAGACACCGGTGGAATGAACCAAGACAGCAAAAAGTACATATTCGTAATATCTTCAATTAATGAGCATAAATGATAGGAAACGTCATAGAATCTTCACGAAATAGTTACGATTGTCAATCATAACGTTTCATTAATGTCATAAAATGCTCATAATGGCTCTATTATGAGAGGAAAGAAACGTTGTACTTAGAAATAGCTATAAAAGAGAGAGAAATAACATTTGTATGGACACTGATTATTACTGGAATATACCTATTTACATTGCTTTATATTGCTTACTCGGCTACTTCTCAGTCTAATTTTCCTTTCTCGTTATACAATTATTTCTTTATTTGATTATCAGTAACCCGAGTTCTTCTAAAAATACGCTTTGACCGAAATTCCTATTTTCTGGTTAAACAGGTGCCATTTAGGTCGTTCTGTCTTGTAAATTTATCTTAGTTTGGGACTGTGAACTTGGAACATCGAATACCAGATAATTAAAATAAAAACTATGTTATTAGCAATATGATCATTATTCACGCTACCATACGTAACCACAATGACATCTTATAAGATGATATATGATCCCCTTGGAAAAAGACAAAATGGTCATATGCATTCGTATATTAGTGGATCCAGCTCTAGATTTTAATCTTAATTTAATCTACCTAGGAATGAATAAGTCTCCTGATCAGGACAAGAATTTTTGTATTACTATAGTATTTCTAGATTGGCCGGTAAAACACTAGTCCCACCTTGGTATTTACCCAGCAGTTTCATTGAATATACTGTATATGGTCAGCACACCCAATTTTTTTTATTTTTTTTTTTTGTTCTTTTGCAGAAAAAAAATCTCCCCATGCCAATATATGTGATGTAATTTTTCTTTTTAATATGTCCCAAAAATATAAAATATTTTTATATTTAAAGACAAAAAAGGACAGCCCAGTGCATTAAGTTCCCGCTATGCACGGAGTCCGTGGAAGAGCCAGACCACCACCAGGGTCTATGGTACGCACTCTTACCCTGCATTTCTGCGAGAGGCTATTTCCATGGCTCAAACTCGTGGCCTTCTGGTCACATGGCAACAACTTTACCAGTAACGCCAAGGTTCCCCTTCTTTATATTTAAAGATAATTTAACTCTAAACTTCTTATTTTGAGATGATTTATAGTCACACGTGATATATTTTAGACTACAAATTTCAAAAATCTTTCTTTCTTCTAATGTTAATAAAAAAACATCACATAAAACAGGATGAATGAGTACTATTATTCAAACTTGGTGAGCAAGGGAAATATAACAATGATGGTATTTTCTATATATATATATGAGAGGCCATCATTTAGTGAACATACATTCACATACACTTCAAGTGTTGTTATATATATTATTTCTAAGTGAAAAAAGGAGAGAAGTTAATTAAGATGATGATGATGCAAGATGTTTGGACTCAGTTGGGTCCAACCATTGCAGCAATCATGTTCACTTGGACTATGTACCAAAACTATTTTCCTCGCGAACTTCGTGGTCATATTAGGAGGTACACTGATAAAATTGTGAGCTATTTCTACCCTTATATGCACATTATTTTTCATGAGTATGATACTGATGGCTGGTTCGAGCGAAGCAAAGCTTATGTTGCAATCGAAAGATACCTGAGTAAGAACTCCTGCACACAAGCTAAGCGTCTCAAAGCCAACGTAGTAAAAGATGGTCAATCTGTTGTCCTAACAATGGATGATCACGAGGAGATAACCGATGAATATAAAGGCGAGAAGGTTTGGTGGATTTCGAGCCAAAAATTATCCAACAAACAGACAATTTCATTGTGGAAGGAGGATGACAAGAGGTATTTCAAGCTCAAATTTCACAGAAAGAATCGCGAGCTTATCACCAATTTATACTTGAAGTATGTGTTGGACGAAGGGAAGGCGATTGCTGTTAGAGAAAGGCAGAGGAAGTTGTATACAAACAATAAGGGAGAGTCAGGTGGTTATAGATATAGGGGTTGGAGGATATGGAGTCAAGTAGTGTTTGAACATCCATCAACTTTTGATACTTTGGCTATGGATCCAAACAAGAAACAAGAGATTATGGATGATCTTCAAACATTTAGAAAATCAAAAGATTATTATGCCAAGATTGGCAAGGCGTGGAAGCGTGGTTATCTTCTTTATGGTCCTCCCGGGACAGGTATTAATGATAGAATTTTGTCCTTAATTTTTAATCGATTAGGACCGTCTGTCTTGAAAAAAAAAACTTCTAAAAAGGAATAAATCACCTTTCTTGGTGGAAAAGTCTTCGTCATCCATATATTGAATATCTCCGTTTCTCTCTAAAAAAAATTCTTTTTTATAGTAGAATGATGTAGGTCAACTGACCTAACTATATTTTAGTATATTATGCTATTTTAGCATAATTCTCTTTCTCGTCTGATTTATCATTGCCAAGATTTGCTTTATTAGCTCTGCATGACGTCATGTTATTTTCGATTCCAAACAGGTAAGTCTAGCATGATTGCGGCTATGGCTAATTTCTTGGAATATGATATTTATGATCTTGAACTGACAGCGGTTAAGGACAATACCGAGCTAAGAAGGTTATTGATAGACACTACAAGTAAGTCTATTATTGTAATTGAAGACATCGATTGTTCCCTTGACCTTACCGGTCAAAGGGAGGAGAAGAAGAAGAAGAAAGACGAGGAAGATAAAGAAAAAGATGAGAAAGATGCCATTGTGAAGAAGATGAAAAAAGGAGAGGTGAAAGAGAAAAGTGAGGTAACTTTATCTGGGCTTTTGAACTTCATTGATGGTTTATGGTCAGCTATTGGTGGTGAAAGGCTTATTGTTTTCACTACTAACTATGTGGAAAAGCTTGATCCTGCTCTAATTCGGAGGGGTAGAATGGATAAACATATTGTGTTATCCTATTGTTGTTTTGAGTCGTTCAAGGTGCTTGCATATAATTATCTTGACGTCGAATCTCATGATCATTTTCCTGAGATTCGACGTTTATTGGGGGAAACTAATATGACTCCTGCTGATATTGCTGAGAATTTGATGCCTAAGTCTTCAAAGGAAAATGCAGACACTTGCATGAAGAGATTGATTGAAGCTCTTGAAAATGCAAAGGAGGAAGCAAAATTGAAAGCTAAGGAAGAAGAAGAAGAGAGAGCAAAGGCTGAGAAAGAGAAAGAGGAGAAAAAGAAAGAATTAGCAGCTGAGGAAGCTGATGGTGTGAAAAAGAATGAGAAGTCAGAGAGTAATGGTACTAAGGAAAATGGTAGTGCCAAGGAAAATGGTGATGTTAGCAAAGATTGATCCTGGAAATGTTTGATCAATATGAAAGTGGTATTATGCAGTTGGTGATATTAATAATAAGTTATATGCATATACATAAGTAGCTATTTAATAAACCAATTAAACGATTGGTTCATTTTCAGCAACTGTGTATCTTAATATGGTTCACGTGTAGCAGATTCATAATAAAATAGGGATATATATATACTATATAGCAATCGGCAACTAATTATCGTCTCTAGCTAGCCAAGTTTTTTAATCATGTAACACAATGAATTATAATACACTTATATTTAACTTCTAGAAGCCAAAATAATTTTATGTTGCACCACCAAGTGTAGAAAGATTATACTATAATTTAACGAGTTAAATTAAATTAATTTTAACTTTATAAATAAAGCTAAAGGAAATTACATGTTCATCACTTAATATGTTTTCATTGACGAAAATTTATTCAAATGTACTACTTTAGTGTTTGTTTGCTCAAAAGTTATCACATACCTTATGAGTATAAAACAATATAAATAAATCACGGGAAAATCATAGCAAACCGTAATAATCCATTGGACCAAAGGAAGGAAACGAAAATAAATGCTCAGAGTTAAGACGAGAAACATTAAAAGCCTTTATTGATAATGTTGATTTGGTCTGCCTCTCCATGAAGAGGTTCAACCCTTACAATGATGTTTTCTTTCCCATAATATGTGTCTCGTTATATCTTTCTCTCTCTCCCCTCAATACTCAGGAAGAAGCCCCCTTTACTAGGGCTTCCTCTCTTGGTATTTATAGCTGTGAGCTTCGTGAGCTGGCAATAAGTGGCCGTGACCACATTGGGGTTTCGCCTTCATAATGACGGACGGGCCGTGGCCTTGTTGATCGAATCAGATAAGGGTTGGATACCATTAATTCTGAGTGGTCATACCACTAATCAATCATGAATTAGCTTAAGACGGGATTACCTTCGTTAATTATCGTGGGGTCGGATTCTGACCCATACAGTTAGTCCCTCTGCTTATTGAGGTCGTGCCTTGGCCGAGCTCGATGAGTGGATTTCATCGACTGTAGTTTGAGAAACTCGAATAGGGAGGTCGACTATCGCTTCGGTCGAGGCCGAATTCTCTTTGGCGATGGCCCTTAGCCTTGTAGAGTGTCAGTGTTTTGTTATTGTGTTATTAAGTCGTCGTTCGATCGAGGTTGGTCTCTCCTCCTTGGCGAAGGCACTTGACCCTTTAACTTAATTTGAGTGAGGTAGAGCTTTGTTGTGCTCTGATCCTTACGTTTGTTTGGGAGCATACCCGTCGACCATGGCGGACGGATCGTATGTTGTGCGGCCGAGGGGAGTAAGGGCACGCTCGATACGTGTTTGGCGACGTCCAAAATTTTGAGGGCGCGCGGAACATCTCCTCAGCGTTCATAGGTCGTTACAACCATTTCGAGGGCGAGACGCCGGTTGGCGACTGAAAAGCTGCTTCATGGAGCTTGTCACAATGACGCACGTTTCTGTAGAATCGAACCGGTGTGCGGTTGGTCATGTAGTTAATGGTGGCTATTGGGGTTCATCAAAGCCACTTGCGTTGCCTATAAATAAGGGCTGAGGCATTCATTTTTTGTATTCTCATTGTTTGTCTGAGAGAGATTCTGAAGAAGCTTTTCTTCCTGCTAATTCACCTTCATCTTTGTTCTTCGATTGGCATAACTTCCGTCTTCGTCCCTCAAACCTTGTTTCTTTCTCGTTATCGAATCAACAATGGCAGGTAATTCTTCCCAAAACGTTCTTCCGACGGATCTTCCGGTTAACTTTCCGGTGACTGAAGAGCTATCTCCGGCAATGGGCAGTGCAGAACTGGTGGAGACCGATGACGCTCCATCGGTTGACGAGATAGTATCTCTGCCCGGAGGTCCGATGACTGATTTCACCGCCGATGGTGGGGAGGATCAGGTGGATGAAGCCCCATTAAAGGGGGAGATTGGGATGTCCCGACTACGGGGACAGGGGGTCATCCCCAGCTATGCTGACGTCATTCTCGCTAGAAGCGAGGAGAGGGTCCACACCGACCGTAGGGGATACTGCGTCTTTTACGCCTATCCCTTCAAGTTGGGGTTTAAGCTCCCGCTTCCAAATGCTAGTGGTTGATTTCTGTCGTTACTACGGGGTATGCCCGGGTCAGCTTGCTCCTTCCCTTTACAAATTATTAGCAATGCTTATCAAATATGCAGAACTGGCCGGTAGGGAGGTCACGCTGCAGCATGTGCTTAGCCTCTATGCTCCCCAGAGAATTCGTGGTACCATGATACGAGCGTGTCCTCGCGGGACGAGGGGCCTGACTGTGAAACTGGATGATGAGGTCGACCCTCGCCCTTTCTAGCACTTCTTCTACATCAGGACTGAACATTTAGTGGCGTGCTCTACTGGGTTCCCAGAGGCTTGGAATCATGCACGTAAGCTCTCTAATCATTGAATTCCCTTTTTTGCCCCTCCTTACGTCTTGCGCTCATAAACGTTAACTCGTATCAATTTTGTAGCCGAAAAGTCGCCGCCAGCTCCGTTGGCTGGGATTTATGAGTGGGTTGAGGCCGTGCTCCACCATACGGTGGGGATACGCACATGGGCGTCTTTCTGGGAGAGGCATGGCCGTAGACCTGTGGCACGTAAAACATTAATTTCTTCTTCTATTCCGCTTTGTTGCAACTCTATTCACCAACTTTGTTGTTCTGTGATCAGGGAGGGCACACCGCGTTAGGGCCCCTCAGTTGGCCTTCCGTCGGCCGGGTGCAATCGCTCGACTTACTGCGGCACCGGTGTCACGCTCGATACCGAGGGCGGCATCAGTTGAATCTTCAGCGGTTCCTTCTCCAGCACGGGCCGCACTTCGGGACGAGGGGCCATCGGGGGTTGTGCGCCCTAGGGCGGAATCGCCATCAGACGGGGAAGAGTTTAGGCCATTGATAAGGCGTAGGGTCGTGTTCACGCCGGCTCCTCCTGTGGTAATTAATTTGGACTCTCCTCCGATGGATGCGGAGAGGGGTGCGGTCGCGGCGCCTGCTCTTGAGGGTGAACAGTCAATGGGGGTTGCCCTGGCTGGCTTAGGCCATAATGATGTTGTCGCTTCGGCGACCCAGTTGGAGATTCCAGTCGCTGAGACGGGAGGTAGTTCCTCAGCGGCTGCTAAGGTTGGTGAGGCAAGCATTCCTTCGGTGGCTACGGCGGGGGGTTCTACCTCGCTGGTGGCGGAAGGAGGAAGGGATGCTGTAGGAGATGAGTACGAGTCTGAATCCGACTTGGACCCCGACGATGTCCGTATGTTCCAGGAAGGCTTCACCAATTCAGGGTGCGCGCAGAGGGGCAATCTCGCTTCATTGAGGTTCCCACGGAGTTGAACTTATTGCTCCAAGGGGAAAGCTTGGTGCCGCTGTTCGAGATGCAATGCTCGGAGGCCGAGAATGCGTCGTTGAGGGGCGTTACGGATATCGGACTGATGAATGAAGTGGTCGTGATGGGCTTGAGGGTATGTACTATTACGTCGGTTCGCTTCTTCTTTGCCTTAGTTTGTTCTTTATCTTAATCGTTGTCTTTGCTTTGCAGTCTTATTTGTTGGAGGTGGAGAGCATCCGTCGAGCCAAAGTCCGCTCGGGGATATTTTTCGGGCGCTATTGCCGCTACCGGGATCAGTGCCGAGAGTTGCGCGTGCGCTTGAGTAATGATCCCCGTAGCCGGGCCTTGGTCGAGGAACTGGCGAGGCGGGAGGTACAGATACAGCAAGCACTTGGCAGAGCGAGTGCTCTCGAGGAGCAGCTCCGGCGGAAGGATGAGGAGCTCGAGGCGGGGAGGAGGGCTGCAGCTGAGTGTGAGCGTCAGGGCCAGGCTAAGGTGGCGGAGGCCGCTGCGGCATGGAGCGGGAAAGTGACTACGTTGGAGGGTGAAGTCGCAGTATTGCAGCTTCAGGTGAGGGATGCCTCGTCGAGGGCTGGGGCGTTGACGGAAGCTATCCGCGTGCACGAGTCCGAACGGGCGTTGGAGAGGGCTACTGCGGCCTTTAGAGAACCGAGTCTCAAGGAGCGGATCGGTGTCTTTGAGCAGGACGCCCAAGTCATGGCGGACCGGATCATAGCCTTAGAAGAAGAGAATCAGCGCCTACGGGACCAAGCCGCTTCTTCCAGCCAGGCTCGCGAACTTTGGGTATTTGCCGAGGCCCAACGTGATGTGTATAAGAATTTGTGGCAGGCCGGCATCGTGACCGAAGCTGCTTTCGAGGGAGCGCGTCAAAAGGCTCGTGAGGCCCGTACCGACTGTGGTTTTGACGCGGCGACGCCAGAGGCTGACGCTGGTGCAGATGGTGGCGCGGATGGCGTCGAGTAAAAAGATGTTATGCATTTTTTCTTGTCTTATTCGTCGTTTGGCGTTTAGGTGTTTCTTGTTTTTTTTTTTTGGTATTGATCGGCCTTGGCCGGGTGTAAGCGGGGATGACCCGTAATTAATTTCGTGGATAATAAATTTTCTTTTCCATTGCCTGCCTTGTGCTTGTTTTGTGTCACTGTTTTTTTCGTTCTTTAGAGTTTTTGTTGCGCTTTTTGTTGACCGTTCACGTTGGCGGCCCTAGTCGAATTTAGATCGACGACTTTAGTCGTGATAGAATCGACGGCCTTAGCCATAAAGGCAACTTCGACCGTCGTCGGGTCGTTTACCCACCGCAGTCGAATCTAGGTCGTCCGTTGACGGCGATGGCCTTAGCCATAATATAGTTGATGGCCTTGCTTTTTCAACTCGGTGCGGGCGAGTCTTAGCCGTTATTTGGCGATAGCGGCGCGTAGCCTGAGTCCCAGTTCAACTGTTGTTGAACTTGGTCGATTTTGATGGCGAAGGCGCGTAGCCTGAGTCCCAGTTCAACTGTTGTTGAACTTGGTCGATTTTGATGGCGAAGGCGCGTAGCCTGAGTCCCAGTTCAACTGTGGTTGAACTTGTTAGATTTGAGGACGAAGGCGTCTAGCCTTATGGTTCAAGCGAGGTCGAACTCGTTGGATTTGATGGCGAAGGCGCGTAGCCTGAATCTTGGTTCGGCCGTAGCTAAACTTACTGGCGAAGGCGCATGGGCTTGATTTTATGGCGAAGGCGCGTAGCCTGAGTCATGGTTCAACTGTATTTGAACTTCTTGGCGAAGGCGCATAGCCTTGATTTAATGGCGAAGGCGCATAGCCTGAGTCCCAGTT